AGTGCACCGGTTGGAAGATCGTTAAAGATAAAGTGCTAGATTACATACGGGAGGGGGGCTGTGGATTAGGCGTATGGTGGGTAGCTCAAAGGGGTTGTTGTTTTATTGACCAAAGGTTGTTTATAAATGAGGAAGGGGAGAGGTATGGGTGTTTTTTTGGTATAAAGGTGCTTTTTTACTATTGTTCATATGGAGGAGGAATATTTTTGGGGGAGGGAGGGGGTGAGAAAATAAAAAGGTAAATTTTTTTGTAGCACATTTTTAATGGCAATAGAGATCTTTAAAAATTTTTTAAGGGCATGGGTGGGGGTGGTAAAAAATTTTTTGGGGGTGGATTTTTTTGTTTTCTATCGTTTTTTAAGATTTTTTAAATTCCTTTTACCCTGCCCATCTTTCGCCTATTTCTCTCTCCCCTCCCCATACCCTTCAATCAAAAATTACAGTACCCATCAATTTGCACCGTATTTCTGCCGCAAATATGCACCCAGCACGCAATTCCAACCCAAATCACCATCTATAAAGTCGGACTGTTTGGTGCACCATATGTGCGGCACAAACGACAAAAAAATCTTTCTTTCCTTGCTTTTCTACCCCGCCCTGCCTTCTATTTTTATTTTTCTCTGCTTCTCTGTCCCGTCCTGCGCTCTCGACTGTCTCGGCTGCGTCGAGAGTTTGCGCTTGATAGTTTCTCGCTCTACATATTTGCATTAAGGGAGGGGGTTTTACTGTTTTTCGCGTTTTTAGCGTTTTGTTTTTGTTTTGTCTACTGTACTTTTTTTGAGGGTGGGATACTGTGTTTTATGATGAGCAGGGTTTTTTGAAAGTAGATAAAGGAAAGGGGGGGGAAGGGATAGAGTAGAAGAGAAAGAGTGGGTCATTTTTTAAAAAAAGTTTGGTTGCTGGAGGTAGAGTGGGTAGGGGGAGGCCTTATTTTTTTTATTTTTTGGAAGGCAGGGTAAGGTAAGGTAGGGTAAAACGTTTTTTTTAAATTTGTGTTTTGTTAGGCATGGCTTTTTACGGCTATGGCAATTTTTTTTTAAAATTTTTTAAAATAAAAAATTTTTTTAAATATTTTAATTTCAAAATTAATTTTTTTAAAATCCTTCTTTCCTCATTTCCCCTGCCCAACTCATCAAATTTCTTCCTATTTCTCTACCACACTCACCAAAATTAACGTTCTTTCTCTTTCACTCTTTTCAAAAACAGTTATATTCTTTTCTCTATCGCCTCTCTCATTTCCACGATCTTTTCTCGAGTTCATTGTGTGATTTTGAAGATCGTGCGCGCCGCTTAAACTTCTCGTTAACGTTTATGCGACGTCAGAGGGGAAAAAAGGTCGAGGCCTGGTCCCCCGCAGTCAAACAATATACACCTTGATTAGGAAAGGGTACCATACTATGACCTTCATACGTATCGGTTGTTACAATACTGTGACTTCTGAAAGTACTAGCGGTTACAGTATTGTGGCCTTTACAAGTACTTGATGGTACAGTACTGGGGCTTTGATAGGCACTGGTAGATACAGTACTTTAGCCTTCACAAATGCTCTTTGTTACAGTACTGTGGCCTTCATACATACTGGTTGTTACAGTACTGTGGCTTTTATAAAGTTAGTACAGTGCTGTAGCCTTCATACGTACTGGTTGGTACAGTACTACGGCTTTTATTAGCGCTGGTTGTTACCGTACTATCTATAAGTACTGTTTTTTGCGCAACCGCATGCCGTATTTTACAAAAAATTCATTTTTAAAAAGTTAATTTTTATTCTCTAACCGTCTCTTCAAACCAAACATTATTTTTTTAAATCGATTTGAAGCGACAAAACGCGGGCCGGCCCTTTGACCTAGCCCGCTTTTAAATTTAATCGGCCCCCCACGCCATTTAAGATAAGAGACTGCGCATTTTTAAGAGGCTGGTAGAGAAGAAAAGTTTTATTAATTTTGAGTAATTTTAGTTATCGTATTTTACAAAATTTTTTTAATTTTAAATTTTCTTAAATGTAAAACTCATTTTCTAAATAATTCTGAGCCCTCTAACCTGCAAAATTTGCTTTGAGAGTAGCTCAGAATTATTTGAACAAATTGATATAATAATAGCACCAGTAGCAGGTGTAATTTATGATGTTACCGACCGTTTTTTTTGTATTTTTTTTAATTTAAAATGACGTTTTTTAAAAAAAGATGAAAAAGACAATTGTATGAAAGAAAAGTTGGTTCACGATGACACATTTTCTCTCTCATGTGTCATCAAAAACGTTGTAAATTGCGAAAGGCAACAGAATTCACTAGAGACAAACAAGAAACCATCTGTAGGCAAAGAAACGGCCAGACAAAGCCAGACGGTTGAGATAGACTTAAGTTTGAGGAGATTGTTAGAGAAAATGATAGATCATTCAATTTGTGGAGAGTGTTAGAGAAAAACAATAGATAATTGGATTTGTGGAGAGAGTCAAAGAAAGTGATAGAATATTGGGTTTGTGGAGAGAGCCAGAGAAGGTCATAGAAATGTTAAAGATTTGAAAATATCACTACAGTTTAAATTAGTCATACAAAGTCAGAAAGATCACTAATTTTTAAGAGAGTGACTTAAGAAGATCAAAGAAACGTTAGAGACCATAGCAATTGAAGAGAGTGGACAAAGAAAAGGCTGTAGCAACTGCTCCACTTGAATTACTTTACAGCACCACTTACGACAAAGTGCGTTTATTAGCTTCTTTAACGTTTTCTCTGCTTCTTTCTTCGTTTTATACACTATTTTCTTCTCTGGGGCCCTCTTCTTTCTTCACACTATTTCTTTCTTTATTTTCTCTTCATTTTACATGCTATTTCTTTATTTAAACCTTCTTCTTTTCCCACACTATTTCCTTCTCTGTTCTCTCTTTAATTCACACACTCTTTCTTTCTCTACCCCTCTCCTCTTTCTAAACACTCTCTCTTCTCTCTCCCGTTCTCTTCATTAACAATACTATCTCTTCTTGTGCGTCTGCCCTTCATTATCGTCGGACAGCCTTCAAAGCGCGACCTAGCCACCTCGATACACAATAATGAAGCGAGAGAGTGTCAGAGAAGCCAGCGCGATGGGTTACGGTCGGTTAAAAGGAGCGCCAGTTCAAAAACGCGGTCGGTCGTTGATGGGTCGTTTTTCTGGCGATTTTTCAAAATTTTTTAAATTAAAAAAAAATTTATATTTTGACTTTATCAGTTGTCGTATATTAACCATGGTGCAGAAAAAATTTTTTTTTGAATTTGTAGCTTTGGGTTTTACCCCGCCTAACGACTTTATTTTGTGAAACACACTTGAGCAGGCGGGGGGGGAGGGTGTGGCTAATCTCATTTGACGGCCGCGATCCGCGTTTCAACGACATTCCCAACCCTTGAGAGAAGCGAAAAAGGGGGCCATTCAGCCGCACCAGCGGTTCGTCTCTGCTCTCCCTTTTTCGCATTGTATTTTCTTTTTCTCTTCTTTCTCTGGGCCTTCATTTCTTTTTGTTCTGACTTTGTTTTACTGTTTTATGTTATCCTTGGTCTCTAGCTTTAAGGTTAGGGGGGTTTTCTCTCTCTAGATTTAACGTTAGAGCCTTTCTCAGCGCTCTCTTTTATTACCATACTGTTTCTTAAACCACTGCCCTATCTCCGCCCCCTCTCTCTTCTCACGCTCTCTCAACCCACGGCGGACGCACCGTTTTTTCGGTGGAAATTCTTTATTTTTCGCTCAAAAGAATTCAGCTTTTTGTTCTCCCAAATCGCTTTTACACTACTTTTTACTCACCCCGCCCAGAGAGCACACGAAACGAAGAGAGCGTGCGAGACGACCAGCCGAAAACACTATGGTATTCCTCTTTTCCATCCCTTTTTCGAAGCGAAAAAAGTATTTTCCCAATGAAAATTGTCACAGTAAAGTGTAAATACGTCCACTGCTTCGGTGTGATGCGGTTACGGTGGGCAAGTCCATGTTGTAGTGAGTTGTGTACGTTATTGGGACAATAATTTGCATAATTTGGGTTTTGGGGTGAATAATATAAACGCTTTGGGGGAAGGGGGGGGGGAGGAAGGGATAATATTTTTTGGGGGTGAATAATAGGTTTAAGGGGTTAAAACTTTGGGATTTTTAATGATTTTGGGGGGTGGAAGATAGAATTTAAAGCGAATTCTGAGCTCAAAAAGTGAATTTCAATTTTTAGCGTAAAACCTGAAGTTTAAATTACATTTTAAGACCAAACATATAGGTATAGATAAATATTCTATTAGACAACACCTTTTCAAACAGATCTAGGGCTTTAAAATGGTCTTTTGGGACTAAAAATAAGGGACGAAATAGTTTTTTTGGGCTAAACGTAGAGATAATGAGCTTGAATAAGATATCTTGTGGCTTAATTTTTTATTTTTTGGACATTACTTTATATATTTAGGTATGATTTTGTTTATTTTTTTCATTTTGTATGAATTTTGGGTATAATTAGAATCTTTTAGGTAGTTTTGAAGGTTAAAAAGAGTATTGTAAAGGTAAGAAATAGTAGTTTTGCTAATTTCTTTCGTGTTATTGGGGTAAAATTTAATGTTTTACATGTTTTGAAGGCAAAATTTGATGTTTCTAAATAAAGTTTTTTATATTTTAGGTATTAATTTTTATTTCTCTTATTTTTTTAATATAAATTAGTCTTAAGGATGCTATTTTTCAGCTGATTTTTGGCTTTAAAATTGAGGTTTTGTCAATTTTTATAGGGGTTTTTGGGCAAAAACACGAGGTTTTTTGATTAAAAAACGAGATTTTTAGGTATAAATTCAATGTTTTAATATCATTTTTATGTCTTCAATGTAACTTTTTTAATTTTTTTATTATTTTTTACCTAAATTTCAAAGAAATCAGCACAAAAATCTAAAAAGAAGCAGACAAAACACAAATTTCCACCTCTGATTCGGTCGTATGTTATGTTTCGCATTGTATTGATCGCGATCGCCAGAATAATATATGCAAATTAATCATCGTTTTACAGTGCCAAAATGGAGGATTGCGCTCCATCTACATCGAGTGAAGTTACGGTGGACATTGAGTTGATGAGGTGTGGATTATGTCATGATGTGTATGTTGATCCGTGTCGTATGATCTGTTGTGGCAAGACTTGTAAGTTTTTTGGAGGACTTTGGGAGGGGGGGGAAAGGTTTTTTTTGCTGGAGAGGGATTTTTACTTTAGTTGGGTATGGCTTTTTTCCTTCTGGGAGGGGTATTTCTTTGTTTTTTTGAAATTTCCTGGGGGTAGATCTTAGTAGTCTTGGACTTCGAGAAAATATCACGTTATCAAAGCTTTGGCTATGGCCAAGAACATTGCTAGGGAGAGAAGAGGGGCCTTGGCTATGGCATTTTTATAACTTCTTGGCAGTATTGTTGACTTACATGTACCTTTTTCTTTGTATCCCTTTTTGAATCTATTCTTTGCTGTAACATACATTACTATCAAATTTTTGCAGTAAAACGTCATTTTAAAAACGAAAAAAGGAAAAAAGTAACTTTTTGCAATGAAAACTTATAAAGTTCAGAAACCAGTTACTTTATAATCAAGTATTTTTTGCTACGGAAGTTGCGTTAAGTTTAAAGGGCAATTTTCAAATGTTTTTTTGGTAGTTTTAAGGCAAGAATTGTTATATCTAACAAATCTTACAAGGAAAGTACTCAACCTGCCCGCTTAGAATTAGCTCAAAATTATTTATATGAATTCTTTGTACCACCAGTAATATTCATAAAAAATTTTAGCTTGCGCTTTTGAGTTTAAAAATCTAAACATTTGAGTTTCCCGTCAATTTGGAAAATTTGGCATTGTGTTTCAAGCACTCTTTTCGACTTTTCAGACAAGCTACGCTTATAAATTAAAAAAATTTAGGTCTATTTAAAGGTTTGCTACTAGTATATCGAAGAAAAATGATTAAAAGTCAAAAAATGACAAAGTTATAAGCTTGAAATACAATGCCAATTTGGCTGGAAATTCGAAACGTCATTTTCTGCTTTTGATTTTTTCAAGATTTACTGGGAAGCAAGATTTAGTACTTTGCTGAAAAGTTTATATTTACATGGTGTTTTTATATAAAAAGTTTGAAGTCTATCAAAAAGAGGCAGGTCGGGTACTTTTCTTATCAATTTTTTAAGTTTTTTGATATTTTTTGAAAAAAAAATCTTATTTAATCATTTTTAATGCCATGCTTATATTCAACAATCCCTAATGTTATCACTTGCTCACAACGCTTCACTTTTACACTTTTTGTTACCTAAAAGCCAATTTTTTGCTTAATACTGTCTCATCTCTCCACCCACCCCCCCCCCTCCTTAAATTTTCAATTTTTTTGCTCAAAACCCCCCTCAAGCCTTAAATTTTCAATTAGAGCGAAACGAGACTTTCCCGCATATTTCATTTGCATATGTTTTCGCATTCTCTATTTCACATCCGGCTTTCGGCGATCGATTACATTTTCCTTCATTTCAGATTGTCGTATTTGCATTGTATTGAAGTCACAATGCACTTGTGCGGAAAGTAATGGCGGTTTGGAAGGAAATGAATCTACAGTAGGGTCGGATACTGTTGGGACTTCTACAGGAGATTTGGTTGATGGAAGGACAGCGAGTGGGGTTGAAGGGGCTGCGGCTAGTACTTCAAAGGACGGTACTAGCTCATCGAAAGCATCTGCGAGCTCAGCAAAATCAGCTACAAGCTTAGCCAAACCTTCTACAGCAAGAAAGCCTAGGTCGACCTCTACCTCAACATGCCTAACTTCCTCATCCTACGTCCCAGACGAACAACTCCGCGACCTCACGATGGAACTGTTTCCAGTAGAAGCTGCCCAAGCCTACTTCAACAAGCTCAAGTTCTGCAACAAGTTGCGACAAAAAGGAAAGTTGCGACAACCTCAACTCGAGCTGGCAACACTATCCCTACTCAAATGGTCAAATCATGTTATGTTGGCCGAAGACGACAAGAAAATTGACGTCAGAATTAGAATCGACGGTAAGATTCTGAAGCCGAATCAGATGCACGATGAAGTTGTGGTGGTTGAGGATACAGTACTGGTGTATACGGTAGAATACAACATGGAAGCGTGGATATTGAGGGACTTTTTAAAGGAGAACAAGGGTATTAATGGCGATGTTATCATCAAGTTTTACACGAAAGAAAGTGTTGCTGTTGAGGAATCGTTGAAGATGTATCAGATTCTGAAGAAGAGTGGTCGGTCGCATGATGGGAGGTTGTGGTTGTTGGCTGACTTCAGTTGGAAGCCGTTGAACGAAGTTATTGAAGACATGCCAGTACTGGAGAAGGAATGCTACGAGACAGAAGCACCTGTTCTGAAGGCAATGCTGGATTCTGATGAGCCGAGGATGATGCAAATGGGACATGACATGGTGAAAATGGGGCCAGAAATGGTTAAAATGACCCCAGAGATGATGAAAATGCCACAAGAAATGATAAAGATGGACCCACAAGCCCTGAAAATGGGACCAGACATGGTTAATATGCAGTCTCAAGAGCGATTTAAGATGATTGAGTTGCCTGACGGTAAGATGCTGATTCCAGAAGGCAAAATGATGATCCACGAAGGTCTGTTGCCAGAACAGTTTAGGCACAACTTTGGCAATTCACTACCGCGCGCTGAGGACTTCCGACCTATTTTTGGGGCTCAGATGGGCACGATGCAACAAAATGTAGGGCAGACTTCTATGGCTCATAATATGGCTGAGAATCACATAGCCCCAACATCTATAGCTTACAACATAGCTACGTCTCTACAAAATCAGAATATGATGCCGATTTCAATGCTTCAGAATCTACCAAAACTTGAAGAATCAGTAGCCGCTCATCCAATCTTGGCCGCTCAACTCCAGCAACCATCAGCTCACAAGTCTTCATCATCTCAGGCCAAGAAGCGGCCAAATCAAAGCCCAATAACGAGCAAACCCGCTAAGATGCAGCATCTGGAACGACCGTCAAGTACTACACAGTTCGCTACGAATTCACAGCTACAGGCAATGCTGGCTGGGGCTCCATTGCTTCAGAATATGAGCGTGAATCCAAGGAATGGCATTGGGAATGGGCAGAAGAGCACCGTGCAAAATGGGATGCAAGGCACGGTAGCTGGAGTTACGGTTGGGAACGGGCAAAAAGTGGCCCAAAATGGACAAAAATCTACTATGCCCAACCTCCAACGCACAAACTCCCCATTAGAAGCCCCATTGCTAACTCCAGAATCCCCATCTACTATCAAAATAGAAGCGACCAGTCAAAAACCGACCGCCTCTTCAGTCAGTAATGGCTTTGGTATGGTCGTGAGCCAAGCACGAGCTGTAGCACCAACAATGACAGTCAGCCAGGCAATGGCCATGTCTCGTACGATGGCCAACAATAAGAACAATGGCATGAAGAACGCAAATCCACTACTTTTTAATGCCCTGAAGGGACAAGTTGGCCAGAATAAGGGTAATATTAATCATGGTAAAGGAAATGGTGGACAGAATAAGGTAGCTGGAAGTTTAAACAAGACTGGAGGTAAAGGTCAGAACTCTTTGAATGGTATCCAAATGATGAATGGCATGTCTACGTTGACTATACCATCACCTACGGGCTTCCAAATGGCTGTTACGTCAAGCCCTGGAGGCAATTTGGGTTTGAGTTTGGGTTCGAATGGCTCTAAAACGGCTTCTGGAGCTTCTACTGGATCTAAAGCGTCTTCTGGAGCGTCTACTGGAGCTTCTATTGTCAGTCCTGCTGGTAAAAAAACTGCCATGCCATCGACTACTCTTATGTCATCGCGTATGACCTCGCCAGTAAACCTGTCAGCCTCTATGGTTAGTCAAGCTAACACAACATCAAGCATGGCTTCGCCAGCCAACATTCCAGCTTCAATGGCTTCACCAGTTAACATACCAGCCTCAATGACCAGTCCAACAAACCTACCCTCTCCCAGTCCAGCCAATATGGCATTTTTTCAACAAATGTTGTCGCAACAAATGCCACAATTTGCCTTCAATCCAGTGATGCTGAGTCAACTCCAAGCCTTTCCCCAACTCTACCAACAAAACCTCCAAGCTCTGATGGGACAAAACTTTTCGACCTCCATCTTCCCACAACCAGCTAAGCCTAAAAAGTCGGCCACGGTCCAGCCAATCGTACGGAACGAGCCTCAGCCAGACAAGGTGTGGCAGGTGTATAATTCGAACGACGAGTGCAAGAAGACCATCAATCAGAACAGTGTGCCAGTATCGATTAGTCAGCCCGGCTCGCTGTAGATTTGACATATGAAGCAGGGGATTGAAGTAGATTTGGTATATGGTTGAATATTGAAGTAGATTTCGTATATAATACGAAGTGAGATATTCAAGTAAATCTACTATAAAGTGGAATGTTGAAGTAGATTTGGTACAAGGCGGAATATTGAAGTATACTATATGAAGTTGGATAGTAAAGTAAACTTGGTACCTTAACCCTAGCTTCTATATTAGTAAATAAAGTAGATGACAAATTAAATGGATAGCCTTTTATTACGCCGTTCAAATAATTATGTGCCCCTAATTACAAAAACTTGCTATGAAAGGTAGCTCAGAATTTTTGAACAATTAAATATTAAGTTGTTCAAAAAGTACTGAGCTACAAACCTGGCCATTTACTAATGTTATTGTAGGTCTATTATTCATGTCGGTGTCTGTGCAATGTTATTACGGTAATTATAGTGCAAAATTGTGGTTTTTTAAATATTTTTAAACGGTTTACTGGCTATTTTTTAAACTTGTATAGCTTTTTTTATGTTTTGTTTTAGCTATTGCAACATGATTTTTATAGCAATTGTATAACTAAATACTATCATGTACAAAATGTCACTCTCTCCTCACATTTGTTATAACCTCAAACGTGTAAACATATTATATTATAATGTAATTGAATGTTGAAGAAATTAAATTAAATTTGTTATTAATTAATAAATCTATTGTTACTATCAAAATTGGCTGTTATTTAGAAAAATTTTTAAAATATGAAAAATATAGAATAAGTTAAAAAATAAAAGCGTAAGCCAAAAGACATAAAACTACGGTAATCTACAGTATGGTATAAATAGAAATTTTTATGTTTTTGTAGGATAGGTTACGGTAGAAGAGAGGAGGGTGTAATAAAAAAAAGTAAGGACAGGGTAAAGTAAAGTAGGATATGGCAATCAAGATTAAATGTGACAGGGTAATTTTAAAACTGGAAAAATAATAGAAAAATATTAGGATAAGACTACAGTAAAATAACTGAAAATTAGGGCAGTATACAATATAGTATAAATAGGTACTTTTTTTGTTAAGTTAGATAAGATACTGTAAAGCAAGCTAGGATAAAGTAGGGTAGGGTAGGGTAGAGGACGAAAATGGAAAACTAGAAGTTACAAGCAGACAACCTTTATAACTCTTTAAACAGAAGCCTCGTAATGGCTATTTTGTCATTTCTACGGTATTAAGAAGTGGGGATAATCATGGATAATCTCATGTTATAAAGTTTTTAAATTTCTACAAAACACCTCTTATTGTGTAATGTACATTATGACTTGGAGTAAACAGATTAACTATACGGAGTAAAAATGTATAAAATTACAGTTTACTTTGGAGTAAAAATAGTGTTTTAAAAAGGTTACTGTAAGTACTGTAACTTTTTTAATAGATTTAAAAAATAATGGCAAGACCTTGTTTATATTTACAGTTTTTTTTTCAAAATTTTTTTTAATAATATAAACTTGCATATAAATCACATTAAAAGACCATGCCATTCACGTTGACTCCATACATATTTATCATCGCCGTTCTTCGGCGGCCGCTCTCACGTAAATACTAAATGACAAAACATTATCCCCCTCCCAAGACTGGTCTCTCAGATACCGACCGGTCGTTCTTAACGACCGTGAATTCTTAAAACGGCACAGAGAATTCTTTTTGAATATCCGATAATTTCTATTCGAAACGAACGGAACGTTTAGGCACGTTTCATTGATGTGAATGCTGTTTTTATAACTGTTTATAAGCATATCTGCACTTGACAAGGTTGAGGTATTGCTCATGTACGGTTGATGAGATGTATATATTGTTGATTATATCTGTATTGAATTTGGTTGTGAATGGTAAGAAGTCAAAAGTTAATTTTAATTTTTGTGTTACCCTACCCTACCCTACCCTACCCTACCCTACCCTACCCTACCCTACCCTACCCTACCTTACTCTACCCTACCCTGCCCTACCCTACCCTACCCTACTATTTTAACTCATCGTATCTTATATTTCCTTATCATACCTCACTTTACCCCACCATATCTTACTGTCCCCACCCTACTCTACTGTGTCTTAATCTACCCTAAATCCTTATACAATACCTTACTCGGCTTTGCCTTACCCTACCCTACTCTACCTCATAAAATATTATTCATTCTTTACATTAAACTTCTTTTTTAGTAGTAACATCATGTACATGCAGTGGTACAAACTTATCAATAGACGGAGAAGAAACGTGTTTTCAAGTCGTTGAAGACTCAGGCGGTTCATGGTCGTCGGCCGACAAAAAATGCTCAAATTTGGGTGGATTTCTGGCACATGTCACGAATAAAACATTGTTGACGGATTTGAAAAGTCTGGTCAATTCTGTAAGACAAAACTTGTTTTGTATATCTTATGTTGTTGTTCAAAGCTTCACTACACTACTATCTTTTTTTTGTGGTGGCACATTTGTATTTACGTTTAATAGTTTGTTTTTTATGTTACTTTGTTCTACGTTACAATGTTCAAAAAAATTTTTAGAAACTGCATTTCACAGCGAATTCCGCAAATTTTAATTATTATAATATAAAAAAGGTTTATGTACTGTTGAACTTTATATATTAATCCGGAATTACAATATTTATTATTTGCGAAATTTGTTACAAGACATGGCTCATTTATTTTTGAACAATTCAATATGTCATAGACGTCGCTGCGGATTTTTTCTGAGGCAAAGGAGAGGAATAAAAATTAAAGGTCTGAAGCTATCCGTGCACTCAATATCAAAAAAATTTTTTTTTGATTTTACGGGGGTACCTACGTACCTACCTGTATATTTTTTTTCTGTTTCGTTCTATGAGGGTGGAGCGGACCTATTTTCTTTTACCTCTTTTCTTCTTCTTTTTCCTTGTCCGCTTCTCTTTCTAGAAACGTTCTAGGTTGTGCTTGCTAATATTATATTATTATATATTGATAATATAATAGTTAAAAAGATCAGAATAAGTTTGGGACTAAGCTGACAAGTCGTATTTTACCTTTTTCTATCTTGATTTTATCGATTTGTGTTGTTTTACTTTGTTTTTTTGCTATTATAAATTATTGTTGTTCTTCTTCTACTGTACCATCATTTCCCACTTTATATTATAATAAGGGTTATCCTATTGTCAGTCTATATTATGTTTAACAGAGTTCAAGCCGTTACATGGTTGGTCATGTGGTGGGTAATGTGGAGTACAATATGATCGCTTACATGTGTCCTAACAATGCCTATAAGTCATTGATGAACGATAGTACTATCAGTCAAGTTGCTACTGGGGTAACTCTTTTAAATTAAAAAAATTTTATTTTTTTATTTGAAATCTTGAAATTTTTGTTTTCAAAATGCTAGGATATGCGGTATTTTAAAATTTTTTGAAAAACCTATACTAAATAAAATTTTTTTTAGAACGCCACGACCAACAGTACATGCATGTTCTTTGAAACAAGCGACTCCAAACTTCATTACGGAAATTGTAATCAGCAATCGGATGTTATCTGTCAGATTCGTAAGTAGCTTAGCGTTTAGCAACAAGATTAAATACAGGAATCTTTAACCCAGTTTTTGCAATTTTAAATTCTTTGAATTTTTATTAAACTTCAATTTTAAAAATAGCATTTTTAAATAATACCAAAAATGAAATTTAAACAACTTCTTTGAAAAAAACGTATTTTGTAATGCACAAGGAGGTGCAAACTTTTTATATAGAAGTATCATGTAATTAGAAGATCTTCAACAAAGTACTTGCTTGTTACCGTCAAACTTGAGAAAATCCAAATCAAATAATTACGTTTTGAATGTTTCGCTAAATTGGCATTAGGTTTCAAGCTAATAACTTTGCCATTTTTAGACTTTTAAGAATTTTTCTTTGATATACTAGTAGACAACTATTAAGTGAACCTACATTTTTAAATTTGCAAGCGTAGCTTGTATAGAAAGTCGAAAAAAGTGCTTGAAACACAATGCCAAATTTACCAAATTTCCGAGCACTAACTATTTTGATCCTAAAACTTAACAGTGCGGGATAAAACTTTTTATAGGTACTGTTAATAGCACAAAGGATTTATCTAAAAAATTTTGAGCTGATTTTGTGTGGGGCAGGTTGGGTTCTTTCTTTGTAAGATGTATCATGTATAAGGTATCATTAACGATAACACCAATATTTTATGACAGTTTACCTTGTTTTAACCTTTAGAAAAGCATCACCATAAAATATTTTCTTGTCAAAAATTCGCATTTTAAAAAAATTTTTTTGCAACAACTTCCAGCTTCAAATCTGCATTCTTTTGTCTAGCACTTGTTCTTAAGCGTACTCACTTTGTAGCTATGGAAACGACGGATTATTGTGGAATTATGTGTGGAGGTGTTACGGCTTCTTCCACAGTAAAAGCAACTTCAAACACTACCGTACCTGGCGCAAAAACTACCGTATCTGGCGCAAAAACTATCGTATCCAATTCAAAAACTACAGTATCCGACTCAAAAACTACCGTATCCAGAACTAAAGACGACTGTGACTGTAGTGGAGTGACAAAAGAGATTGATGGGATAAACACTTGTTTAGAGGTTCAGAGTGGCAGCGGAGGGTCGTGGAAGAGTGCTGATCAGAAGTGTTACAAAAGCGATGGATACTTAGCTCATATCAGAGATGACACCATGTTGGAGACAATTCAGAGCTATATTAAGACGGTATAGCTATGTCATACATGTTTTTTGTTTAAAATAGGGATGAGAAACCAGTTGGGATGTGTCTTCTTTTGAGGCCCGGTCTAGGCCCGGGGCTGAACCTGGCTTCCGAACCGGCCGGGTTTTAGGCAGGCCGGGCTGGAACTGGTCATTTGACCCAGTTCGAAAGCCAGGTTTACCCGGGGCGCAACTTCTAAGTCCGGTCCTTTCAACTTTAGCTCAAGGCCGGGTTGGCCTTACTCGGCTTGTTTCTCAAATTCAGTTGTCACGTGTTGACAATGTTATGGTATTTTGATCCTTTTTTCTATGTTATACTCTATAACACATTGCTTTTACTATTTAAGTATACTAATATTCTTTTACTGTATGTTTACTATGTGGTACTGTAGTTTCTTAATCTTATTGTTCTTCTTAACTACTATCTTTTTTAAAACATTTTCATACTGTGATAAATAGTATAGTCACTTTTGCAGTGCCAATTCATCAACTATAATTATGATTTGTTTGCTATGTTGCACACTAAGCATGATACAAAAATAAAAATATGTCTTTTCAGAGTTACAAACAGCCAATAATGGTAGGACATGTAGTTGGCAATGCAGAATATAATTTGATTGCTTATATGTGCCCCAATAACTCGTACAAAAGTTTGGTCAATAATACTCTTATCAACGAAACTATCAGTGGGGTAAGTGAATAATACTCTTGTTGGTTATGTGTTCAACTTAGATTTTTACATTAAAAATTTTTTTATATGATAATTTCGTTATAGAAGAGCTTGTTATACAAGAGTTTTACTGTACTAAAACTTTAAATTTATTTCAGACATCCGGAACCAATGAAACTTGTCTGTTCATCGAAGATTCTGATTACAAGTTGCATTATGGCACGTGTACACAGGCTTCGGATGTTCTTTGTGAAATACGTAAGCTATAATATTAATACTTTATGACATAGTTTTTTTGTTTTGAGAGAGGAATATCCTGAAAGGGGGGGGGAGCTAATAGTAAGAAAGAGACCGGTTCGAGATAACTATTGACGCCCGGCTTACAAGGAAGGTACCCGACCTGCAACGCTCAGATTCCGTTCAAACTTTTTTTAGTGAAAGGTCATGTAAATGTAAGATGTTATGCAAAATTCTAAGTTGCGGTTTGCGGCCAGTCTTGAGAAAATCGAGATCGAAAAATCGCGTTTTGAATTTCCCGCCAAATTGGCATTGTGTTTCAAGCTTATAACTTTGCCATTTTTTGACTTTTAATCATTTTTCTTTAATGTGCTAGTAAAAAACCTTTAAATGAACCTACATTTTTAAATTTGTAAGTTTAGCTTGGCTAAAAAGTCGAAAAAAGTGCTTGAAACACAATGCCAAATTTGCCAAATTGGCGGGAAATTTAAATATTTAAAATTTAAAACTCAAAAGCGCAAGCTAAAATCTTTCATAGGTACTATTGGTACTACAAAGAATCCGTATAAAAATTTTGAGCTGATTTTGAGAGTTGCAGGTTGGGTACTCCCCCTGTTAGCCAGAGGCTTAGTGTTTATGTTTGGCCTGTTTTTATTTTTTGTCAGGCCAGCCCAGGAAATTATGAGAAGCACAGAATCATTTGAACAAGCTAATAATTTTTAAATTTAGCGTTAGAAAACGATTCACGTTGCGGAGTAATGAAGACATGTTCATCAACAGCCATGCCCAAAACAACTTTGTCTTCGTCACAAGTTGGCTCTTTTGATTCTAACAACAATAACACCAAAACTAATGTCAAGAACAGCGTAAACAACAGTAATTCGACCACTAATTCTAACAGTACCAGCAATAGTAGTACCAACAAGAACTCTAGTACCAATGGTAGTACTGAAAATAGTGATAACAGCAATGAAAGTGATAGTACTAATAACAACTCGAATACAAATAGTACTAATAGTGCCAGTCGTAAAAACATTACTAATGGTGCTAGTAGTACAAACAATAATTCATCTGAAGATACGACGAGTAATAGCAGTAATAATAGCGATAGTCAAAGCAGTAGCTCAAGTAATAAGTCTAACTCTTCATCTTCAAGTAGTACCAATACTAACTCAAATAGTACTAGTAATACCAACAGTCAATCTACCAGAAGCAACATTAATTCTACTAACAACAACAGTAGTAATAATGAATACGATAGTAATAATGTAATGTCAAACTACGATGATGACAATCCAGATGGTACATATGACAAAGAAGAAACTATTGGGCCAAGTAATAGTGGCAAGTATAGTAATGACAGTAATAATGAATATGACAAAAATGACAACAATAATATGAATAACAACATGCAGAAGAGCCAGAGTAATATGCTACAACATTCATCATCAAATTCATCGATCGAAGACCTTCTAAATCAGTCTGATTACAACTTTAATGATACAGATATGTCATTCAATGACACAAACAACAATCGGTCAGATTATGATATGATAGGCAAGTTTGGTCATAATCAACATAATGGTCATGATGACAATAATCATCTTGAGTGCTACGGTAATGGCTACAACCGAGTAGGAAAATACTGTGTAAGATGGTGGATATGGTTTATTGTCGGTCTGTTAATATTGGCTATGGCAATTTGTATTTGTGGCGTTGGGTGTTACTTCTGTGGGCTGAATATGTGCAGAAGGTAAGTGTAATATCTATTTAGTTGTTTAAATTTTTAAAACCTCTTTAGTATATATGACCCTCTATAGTATGACACCTTTTTTATAACGACAGCTTTTTGACTTTGTAACAAAACTTCTATCAAAAAGCACCTGAATAGTGTGACACTCTGTTATAATGGCACTTTAATGCAGTCTTTTGAGTGTTAAACTAAAGAGGTTTGATTGTACATGATAAAACCTTATACATGTAATATTTGCGAATTTAGAAACCGCAACAACATTGTGATACTAGAACAACCAACGCAGAGCATCGTGGTTGAAAAGCTAAGGCCTACAAGTACAATTACTACTGGTAAGTTGTTTTTATCGCAAGTTTATTATACAAAAGTTACTGACATTTATTATATACTGTAGGATTCCTGTATAACAAATCGCTTGAAATTTTAAAACGGTTTATTATAAAAAAGTTTTGTTGTAGTAGGGTTTTGTTATACAAGAGTTTTACTGTATAATATATGTTTTAATAACTAAATTGACCATAAAAATTAGAAAATTATTCTAAACTCTCTTTTTCGTTTAGTTGTGGAGACGATTGAAGTAATCGGCAACCGTAAGTCAAACCATAGTAGACTGAAGTCGTAGAACGCTAATACTGAACTCACACTAAACACATAGGTTACAGTGCTTACACCAAACGTAGAAAACATAGCACTATATTATAAATAATAGTACTGAAAACTTTCAGGACACGGCCGGCCATCCATACTTTACGACGTAGCAGTAGCTGAAACAATAATTCCTGAAGAAATAATACCCCCGAAGCCATATTATGCTACCAGTCCAATGATGATGATTGGATCGGGCGAGTTTTCCGACCGTTCAATGTCACTTGGCATGGGTGGTGAGTTATTATATTTTTGCAGTACATACGGCAACAACATATATCTTGCTATTAGAAGTTACAGTAACTTTGAGGTCCTTGTAAAATACGACAAAGGACACACGTTTATCAAAATGGTCATTTTTAAAAAAATTATGTTACAGACAACCGGCTGTATTCCCCAAGCGACAGAATAACGCATGAGAACTTGACTGGACCGAAATTAACGTTACCAACAAAGTAAGTTCACCCACATACATTAATATATCTAAGATTCAAAATTTGTTACCTAAATATCCAAACTTTTTAGTGGTCCATATGATGAACGTCTACCAACAGGAGCTACGGCTTTGATCCCACCTCCAGTAGTTCAAGCGGAATCCGATAATATACCATCAATGTCCGATGGTATACCAGTACGGACGTTTGATAGAGCACCAGGCAGATCGCCTACACCTAGCGATGAAGACTTCAGCGACGGTATTAGAGAGTTCAATCGAAATGGCATTGGACGACAAGGGGGACGGTTTTGAACTGTAACTTTGATACCAACTCATCATATATGAGGTGGTATCAAAGTAGTATCGTACTAAACTATTGAATATTGTATTGTAATAGTACAAAATTGTACCACACAGAAACTCTGTGGTTTAATGTTACTATAATGCAGCGTAATAGTATTTTACCTTTTTATAGTATCATACTATGTTACGGCACAATATTAGCCCTGGATGAACAAAAAACGACAAGAAACGTCTTATCTCGTTTTAAAACATCTATTGATTGTAATATGTTTATTAGAAATCGTACAATTCAGTGTAAAACTTAATTTTAAACCGGTTGCAACACACTTTCACAACATATTCAAGTATTTATAAGACAATTTATTACTGTAGACATAATAAAGTACGTCATTTTAAATGCATTATATTGGCGATGATAGAATAAAAATGTTGAAATGCCGTCAAAGAATATTTGAATTAAAATTTTTGCGTAAACCACGTTGAGAAGGAAAGTACCCTACCTGCCTCAGAGTCAGCTCAAAATTTTTATATGAATTCTTTGTACTATAAATAGTAACTATAACTTGCTGGTTTTTCCACTATCCAGACGAGCTACGCTTACAAATTTAAAAATGCAGGTTCATTTAAAGACATTCTACTATTATATAAAAGAAACATTTTGAAAAGTAAAAATACGGCTAAAGTATAAGCTTGAATCACAATGCCAACTTGGCGGGAAATTCAAAACAAAATTTTTTGATCACGATTCTCGAGATTTCCTGGAAAGTGCGATTCAGTACTTTACTGAAAATCTTATATTTAAATAATCTTTTTATATAAAAAGTTTGAAGTCAATCAAAGCGGAGCAGGTCGGGCACTTTCCTTATGAGATACTATAACACTTTTATTACATTAAAAACAATCAAATTCGTAAAAATATTTCACATTTTTAAAATTAAAAATAGACATAAAACATGAACGAATGCCAAGCACGATCTGAAGACCAAAAATTGATTAGTAATTCACAAGGATTAGGTTGAAATGATAAATCGATTTCATATTCAGCGACGCGCTGTTCTTTATCCAAACGCAAAACGCGAAAAGGGTTCCAATCAAGTGTCAGACGACTAATGTGGTACGAAAACTTTCCTGAGCTTGCATTGCTTAACCTCAATATAAACTTTTTTGTACCGTTCAATTTTAAATCTTCTAATCTAGTAACGTAGTCTGTGTCGTCGCTCAATACGATTGTTCTGACAATGGTTGGGCCTTCCACATCCAATTTGTCATCTTTTAAAACGGTAGCCAATTTAAGGTTGAAGTCAATTAATTCAGAACATTTTAGATCCAAATAATGTAGATCTTACCTTCTGGCTAACGCTTGACATTCCTCAGCATCCTCTCCTCGAATATTATTCAACAAACACAGCTCGCATTGCAGCTAAAAGAATATCAAGTAAGCTAATAACATGACATTAACCAGTACGTTCGAGTTTTTATTTACTAAATAAAACTCTTATTATCGAGATTAACAATATATACACGTAATATAAATATACGTGTATAAAGGAAAAACAAACCGTTAAACAACAGTAACAGAAAACAACTTACAGTCAAAAGTCGAATTTCACAACGATGAGCAAGCTGGATCACCTCCATCGCCAGTTGAAAATCATCAATCGTTTTATGGTGGTGCACATACATCAGCATGGCCTTTACCGCTTCAGAATCATCATGTAGTACCATCTCTCCATTCTTTACTTCTTTCATCTGATGTTTGAACATGGCTTTCAAAACAGGCGAGTTTTGAGCTAGTGCAAATTTGGATACCTAAATTAATGATATAAAGTAATGTTTGCTAAAGTGTTAAAGTCAATCTTCGATTTTTTATGTCAATCCTGATTAAAAAGTTGCGTGCCATAAGAGATAACAACACAGACTCGAAAAAGAAAAAGTGTTATTTTAAAAATTAAAATTACAAAAAATGGATAAAGTGTCTTACATAGAAGGTCTCATTGCTGGTTGTTATCTTGAAGTCGCCATAACATTCGTTGTTGAAAATGTCATCGTCGCAAGCTTTCCTCATATCCTTAGTAAGTGCTAAAACAACTTTATACATCTCATAATTTATGACGCTGTTTCATAATTCTAAGTGATTTTTTGTTTATTAAGTAGACAGTAAAAGTATTCATACAGTAAAGTAAATGCTATAAATTGTACTAGTATGAAACCAAAGAAACAATTGATTTTTGTAAAACAAAAATTAAAAGTACGTTTTACCTTTCAATTCACGAATCCTGTCTTCCACCCTTCGATGACTAGATTTTAGTTCTTTTGTAAAGTCCATAATATCAATAGTAAAAAATGGTCAACAAGATACTTCTAAAGTTAAGCACCTGAATGAAGTCAACGTAGTGAAAGAAGGTTTGTTCTCCTTGTATAGCTATATACGTGTAGCGTCACAGTTTGTCTGCCGTTTTGCGCTTTTACAATTGCGTATCAACACATTTTGGTATAAACGCAAGCTTTTTTGGCGTCAGAATTTGATTGAATCTATGATTGGTGAGTTTAAAAGTAAAATACTCAAAAATTTAAATAAAATTATGTTTCCACTGCCAAGAAGGTTAAGATTTGCATTTTTTCTTAATGTTTATAGTATTTTATGATTGATTTTAAGCTACAATACCTAAATTTGGTAAAAAGAGCATAATAAAAGGTGATCTATAAAAATATTTTAAAAATTGCCTATGAAATTTTTGATGGTGATTGTGGAGAAGAAACAGTTTGGGGCACCAAACAAAGCAAAAAAATGTAAAATATAATAACTTATTTAAAAGACAAAAAATAACAAGAGACTTTCTTTACAAAACATAAAATAGCAAAAACTTTCATTGCAAAAAATAAAATGGCAAAAACTTTGTTTACAAAAAATAAAATAGCAAGAACTTTCTTTACGAAACAAAAAATGGCAAGAGTAGCACCGGAAAAATAAAAAAAAACACAAAATAATACATTTTTTTGCATCATATTATACTTCCAAAAGGTCAAACTTCGAAATGAGTGTTTATTTCGTCAGTATCGTACATCAAAATGCATAGTTTAAAATCAGTACATCTAAATCAGTGCTCCTTCTCCCATCTACATCAATATGCCACTCCTAAATCTTCCTCTATCTACCACTCCCAAATCTTCATCAATCTGCCATGCCCATCATTCCCATCTGTGGGCCACCTCCTCCTCTACCTTCATCTTCATCATCATATTCGTCAAAGTCGCGGCTGTCGTTTTCGGTGAAATGCCCTGAATCGCTGGTTCCCGAGTTCAAAGTGTATTCAGACTCGTCACTGCTAGTGTAATCTTCTTCCGATGACAACATGTAGTTCTCGTTTGGATCCCAGACTGGTCGTCCGTCCGAGCTCGAAGTACTTGAGGTTGAGTTTGAAGATGATGAAAACGAGCTGTTTGGAGATTGTCTTCCAGAATCAAAACCATTGTCGTCTTCAGAAGTGTCTTCGTCAGTGGAGCTTGGTACGTAGTCTGGGTCCGCGCCTTCGTCGCTGAAATTTAAAATTTTAGGTTTATATTTTGAAAAAATAAATTTAAATAAAAAAAAATTTCATTTTAAAAAATAAATTTGAAATTAAAAATTTAAACGTACTCTCCAGTCGTGCTACTTTCCTCAGGATCACTGTACTCTGGGCTTGGTCGTCGTCCTGGTCCAAAACGAAGTGGAGACTGTCTTCTGTTGCTGGGACTTGGAAGGGCTGGGCCTTGTCTTCTTTGAGCTCTTCTCTCCACAAATCCTCCCTGTCTACGCTGAAGGAACGGCCGTTCTTGTAGACTTTGCCTTCTGTCTTGTGCTGCTCCAACGCTTGAGGCCCTTCGTCCTAAACTAGCAGCTCTTTGTGGTCTGGCCTGTGCTCTCTGTCTCGGCGGTCCTTCTGAAGCCCATCGTCTACCGCCACGACCAACAAATGATCTGGTACGTGCACTACTGTTGGTAGATGAAGCACTAACTGACCTCCTTGGTAAACGCCTTGATCGAGATGCAGCGAGACTGGACCCAGAATATGGGCTGCGACTTCTTCTAGCACTTTGGTTGTAGATCCTGCCATTTGGACCGACTAACACGTCTGGACCTTGTTGTCTTCTGTTAGCACGACGACGTCTTACCGTACTGCGGCCTTTTCTCACTGGACGACGACTTCTGCTTGCTACACTTAGACTCCTTCTTGCAGTGCTACGACTTCTTCTCACAGGGCTTTTGCTTTGTGAGAATGATCTACGGGCTTGCCGGACGTACAATTGACCATTTGGACCTACTAGGACGCTTGGACCTGGTAGAGGGGTACTTTGTCTGTTTGGAGTTGTACCACTTGAACTACTAGATGTTCTACTGGTTGAACGTCTTTGTCTTGTACTAGCTTTTCGTCTTGGTGTTGCAGCTCTTCTTCTTCTTAGTATACGTCTTCTTGGTGCCACGCCATTTTGTCTTCTTGGTACCATATTGCGTTGTCCTTCTTGTGCCATATTAGTTAGACCTTTAGGTTCCATGCCATTTTGTCCTCTTCGTACCATACTGTTTTGTCCTCTTGGTACTACACCAAATTGCCTTCTTGGTACCGTACCAATTGGTCTTCTTGGTGTTTCAACATTAGTCTTCACCGGGCTTTCTGTATTCCAACGAATTGATGGTGCACTTTGTCCTAGTCCACTTGATTGGGGTGGTACACTTTGACCTCTGCGACGACTACTTGGTCCAGCTAGTACTCCTCTGCCTCTTACTGGTGCCAACTGTCCCAGTGAGTTATCAAACTGTGGCCTCCGTCGCCGCAAATCTCTTGGATCAATCCTGTAGTCATAGATGTATCCTTCCGGTTCGCTGCCCTCACTATCGGCCCATTGACTCTCTCTGTCATCTACTCTACCACGTCGTTCACTATCGTATCTACCGCTCATTCCGCTGTAAACCGTGCCTAATACTCTGAGCACGATGAAGATGGCCAAATAGTTGATGCAGGTGTAGGCAACACGATGCGGACAGTCGAAAATCAGTAGAAAAATCAATATCAGTGCAGATAATGTTAGTCGGTTGAAGTTAGTACTCCCAGTGTCACAAATCGACCGGGAGCTCCGAGTCAGTCAAGTAGTAATCAAACCGACCGGTTGATAAATAAAACATATTTTGAGAATTTCAAACTTTGAAATTACACTTTTATTTTTCATTTTTCAAAATAAAAAAGTTTTTAGTTGAAAAATTTTGAAATTTTGAAATATTTTTTTTTAAAAATAAATTTTAAAAATTTTTTGAATGTTTGTAAAATACGGTCAAGCCAAATTGACGTTTCATTAATCAGATTTATTATAGTAAACATCAAAAGTAGCCAAATTTAAACAAAGTTTAATAAGCTAATCAGTTTTGATCATATCAGCATCTTTCAGCAGCTGATAAAGCTGGTTTTTACTGTAAGCCTCTGCAATCTTATTGTAGTTACCGTAAAAGGTTTGATTGATAAAAAATTGAGGTACTGTAGTTATTCCACTTCTTTTGTAAAGTTCATCCTGAAGAGAAAGATTTTGGTAAAATTTTACATTAGAGTAGGCTTGGGTAGGATAAAAAAGGGAGGAATAAGTGTGCCACACCGGAAAGGCTAAATAGGCAGAACTAGGCTTGGGTAGAACTAAAGTAAGCAGTTAGGTTTCAGAGTGGTATTAGCTTCAATATTATGCTCTGGTCATGGTCAATATAATGATTTTTTAATCAAAGCCATTTGCTGATGGAGGGGGGGGGGGGGGGGGAAGAAGAAAGTAGATGTAAATTTTTAAATTTTTTTTGGTGCAATTAGTCCTAAAAGAGGACTCACAAAGTCCGACTTTGAAATTTAAAAACCAAGACTCAAAAGGCTCAAATACCGCACCAAAAGATTTGATTTGCTAAATGTGTGGCTCTGGCTGAAAAATTGTGCCTAGCCCTTTTACCTCTTGAGTCTAGGTGCAACGACTAATTTTTTTTTTGTAAAATACGAATTTTCAAAAACACTTTTATAAAAAATTGTAAAAAGCAAAAAAAATACCTGAATTTGTTGAGTATCGTTTCTCATGTTAATATGTTCAATGTAAAGGTTTTTGATTGGAAATAACTTTAAAACATAAATGGCTGCATTTGAGTACGAACAGTGGGTTTTGATGAATAGTACGCCATTATGCTTCTCTAATATGCTGTCGATTTCTTGAGTTACATTGTACGAGGATACCTGTAAATAAGTCACATTTAGATTAAGATTGTAAAAGTCTTGTCGTCAACTTTTGTGGGGTTGCATTGCTAAAAACGACAAGACTTTTTTTCAATTTTCTAACTTGAAGTTTTTAAAATTTAAATTTTTTTATTTCAAAATTTTTTACCTACCTCCCCATAGATTACTGTAAAACTTAAAACTATAGTAAAAAGAAACACGGTTAACCGCCTCATGCTTGTGCTTACACCTATGTTCAAACAAAGTCGAACATGTCCTGTCTCGATATTGATAAGATCTTTTTGTGTATTTTTTCGGTTTTTGTGAATCACTCTAGCGTATATTAAGTTAATCATATCCTTTACGACTTCTGCACTGAATTCTTTGTCTTCTGCAAAGTTTTTATTATTAGTTTTTTTGAGAAGTTGATATTTTCAAAATTGACAAGGAAACTGCTCGACCTGCCCCGGTCAGATTGATTTTGAATTTTTTAGATAGAAAGATCATGTAAATATAAGATCTGCAGCAAAGTACTACTATTGTGCATCGCGTTTTCTAGTTAAGCTCAAAAAATTTGAAGTAAAAAAATAACGTTTTGAATTTCCTGCAAAATTGTTATTGTGTTTCAAGCTTATAACTTTGTTATTTTTTGACTTTTAATTATTTTTCTTTGATATACTAGTAGAAAACCTTTAAATGAATCTACACTTTTAAGTTTTTAAGCGTAGTTTGTCTGAAAAGTTGAAAAAATGCTTGAAACACATTGCCAAAGCTGTCAAATTGACGGAAACTAAATATTTAAAATTTAGAATACAAAAAAACGAGTTAAAGTTTCTTATGGGTACTATTGGTGGTAGAAAGAACACATTTCAAAAATTTTAGCTGATTTTGAGCGAGGTAGGTTAGGAACTTCTGTGAGATTATGCTTTTTTGACTTACCTTGTTATTTCTTTATAATGTATATTCATATTTTAGGTGATTTTACACTTTCTTATTTGTTTTTGGTAGTTCAATGTCTTGGTATTGTACATTTTATCACAATTAACAGTTTTACTCCTTTACTACCTTTACCGTACTTTTTCAACTCCTAACCATTTCACTACATCATAATATAACTTTATAGCCTTCAACACCCCGTTCACATTAACATTCATTAAGTTTAATGTAGCACATACGATGACGGTTGAAACAATATTGATACTTGTGAATTTTGAGACATTTTAATGGAAACCGGTATTAGTTGTCGCAAAAAAAGGCGCGATCAATCAAGGATTTATCTTGATTTCTCTCGAAACTTCATTGCGACATTAGCGGAAATCAGAGATAAGTGCACTTTGGAGATTGTGTGAGGCATCGTTGGTTAATGATAGTGGGATAGAGGGCATGGTATCTTGGTCGTAGTTAGAGAGAGTCATCGTATCTTAGTAAGAGAGGCATTGTAACTGATAAGAGTAGGAGAGAGATATCGTATCTTGTTAAGAGTGGGAGAAAGGCATCGTATGTTCTTAGTGTATGGTTAAGAATCATAGTGTGTTATCTTGAGGGAGTATAAGAAATTTACTACAGTGAAATATAGAAAGAAAAGCGTCGTATCTTGCTTAGACGAAATGAAAAGCTTAGTGTTTGACTGAGATAAGGTAGAAAAGACATTGTATCGCATCTAGAAAGAGTGTGAAGATATCGTAGCTTGCTTAGATATAGTAAGAGACATCTACGTTCTCTAGAGACGATAAGGAATGTCATATGTTACCTAGAAAGGAGAGTTTTAATGCAATGTTCTTCATAGAAGTCGCGAAGTTTCTAGACGACAAAAATATCATTATAACCAACGATACGACGCACAAAACGCGTAGCAAATACAACGACATAAAAAGATACGCATGAAAACATCACTCTACTCTCAGATACGCTATACCTAAAACTCAACTTTATCTCTCTATTAGTCAAAGTACCCCAAGGGGCATATGACCGCCGTCTAAAAGGATATTGTTTCACGCTCCTGGATTTCTCCACCCCAACCTTTGTTGCGCGAAAACTTGTCGCAACGTGATCAAGATCAAGCTATAAAAGGCTGGCGGAAGCCAGTCCGAGCCAGAGTTTGATTGTCTCCAAAACAGACATGTCATACTTAGCCGCTCAAGTCGGCGTCGCCACCTCTGGTGTGACCGTTTTGGTCTTGATCTTGGCCTTCGGCCACATCTACACCGATTTGAACAACACATGGGCCGAGTTGGACCTTCAGATGGACCAGTTCAAGGTTCAGACCGACGACCTCTGGGGTGATATGCTCAAGATGGGAGCCGGATCCCCATCCAACCGTCAACGTCGTCAAGCCTACGGAGGCTACGGAGCTTCCGGCAACCAGCCCTCATTCCCAGGAGGACCATCCGGCCCAAGCGGACCAGGACCAAAGGGACCAGGTGGAGCTTCTCCACCATGCGGACCAGCTGGAGGACCAGGTGCTCCACCATGCGGACCAGGAGGCTCAGGACCAGGCGGCAACCCCAACTGCCAATGCCAATCCGAGAACAAGTGCCCAGAAGGACCAGCTGGACCACCCGGAGAAGCCGGACCAAACGGTCTGCCGGGTCTTCCAGGTAAGGACGGTATTCCCGGTTTGGACGCCGAAGATGTCAACGACCAACCACCACAAGGCTGCTTCAACTGCCCAGCTGGACCAACCGGAGCTCCAGGAGACGCTGGACGCCCAGGACCACGTGGTATGCGCGGACCTAAAGGAAACCCAGGATACCCAGGCCGTGACGGATACCCAGGTACCCCCCGGAGACCAAGGACCACAAGGAACTCCAGGTAAGGTTTTGAATTTCAAAAATGGCAAGATGTTGATATTTAAAATTTTTTTTTATTTTTTGAGGCTTACTGTAAATTGTTAACAAAATTTAAACAAAAAAGCAGTTTTTAATACCTAATCCCTTCAGGAGACGACGGAAAGGCCGGACCAGCCGGAGAGAAGGGAACCGACGCCGAGAAGCCAATCGGCCGCAAGGGACCACGCGGATCACCAGGAGAGCAAGGTCCAGAAGGACCACAAGGAGACAAGGGACAAGACGCTCCACCAGGCGAAGCCGGACCAAAGGGACAACCTGGACCACCCGGATTCCAAGGACCAGCCGGACAGGACGGTGAAGAGGGAGGAGAAGGTCCATCTGGTGCCCCAGGAAAGGACGCCGAGTACTGCCCATGCCCACCAAGAGACGGTGGTAAGGGAGGTAACGGTGGCCCAAGCGGTAGCCACGGAGTCAACGGAAACGGCGCCGGAGCCGGATCTGGAGCCTACAGACGCAGACGTATCTAAAACAGTATTGTTGAAGAGTGAGGGCAGACTGGTTTGGGCCATTCTTGGTATATTCTGGTTTAAAATTGGAAAAGATTGAATAAAGTTTGTTGCATTCAATAATCCGTTTTAACTTTTTAAAAAAAATTTGAAATTTTTTTAATTTAAAAAAATGAAAAGATAACTTTGAAAAGCATGATTAATATAATTAAAATATCTATTACTCTTTTTGAATACTCGAAAAATCTAAAAAAAACCTGCGCGAAACCTTCGAAAAATCCCGAAATTTCGAGTTCTTTCGCTCTTTTTCGTCTCTTTTCTCTCGCTCATAGGCGAACCTGCTCATAAACTAAAACTGAATATAAAGGCAATGGTAGCCAACGATCGAGCGGGTAACTCTGGGGTCCATGCATCCTCAAACGGATAAATCTTTCGCCTTTTACTAAAGATTTCCGTGCATGGGCTCGCTTATGAGTTCATATTCAATTTTTGGGAGTCCAGTCGAAAGACTGGACTGATTTACTTTGAAATAATATAAGCTTATAGGCAGTTTTTTAAATCAAAGTAGACCTGAAAATGTGAAAAGGGCTATCGCATGTGAGCCTGAAGGCTAGGGCCAAACCAAGGCTTTAGGAGCTCAGTTTAGGTCCTTCAACAAAAAATTTGATTTTCCTGCAACAAAAGATTGGATATTTTATTTTCTTTTTATGATGTAGTAGAAAGACATGGGGGTTAGAGCGATGTTTTAGGATCTCACACAGGCTAGACCATAGACTGTATCATTATATTATGATAATAATACTTTCCTTAGTCTTTCTATTTTTAAAAATGTTAAAATTAAACCCACAAAATATCAAAATCAATCTAAAACCACGCTTTGAAATCATCTTGGGAGGTGTTTTTTGTAAAATTTCGTTCCAGATTTCAATGTTAACTCATTACTTTTGTATAGGTAAACAACTTTCTTAATGAGCACGTGCTTTCACATACTTATAGAGTAACAAATATTGACGATGAAAGTAAATACAAAACAGGAAGAGGGGTTGGCAAGGTGTTTTGGTGTTTTTGTTTAATAATTTTGTTAAATTTTACTTTTCAATTTAAAAAATGTTTTTTTGAAGTTTGTGATTTGTATGGGTTTATCAGTTAATCATATAAAGGATAAGCCTTTCCTTATACAGAAGCTCGCTAACCAGTAGGTCCACTGCACCCTTTTCCGTAACAAACCAGTAGTTGTTTATGAATTCCTTGCCCAACCCGCCTAAAAATACACTTTCCAAGTCGACGAACGTGTTTTGTTGTTTCTTAATGTAGCAAACAGTCAGATTACCGCTTATCGACCTGTTATCACGGTTGAACTTGTAAGAAGTCATTCGTCGGAATCAAACATCAACTTTCTTCCGCTGCCTACAAATTTGATGATATTACGGTAGGTTTTAATACTGTTTTTGTAAGCAAAAAAATAATTCTAGATCTAGCTCTCGCAGAGGTTTTAAAAACATGTGGTGTTAGCACTAGCCATAACTTTAGCTTAGCCTTAGCCCAGAGCCCTGGCTCAAAGCCCTAGTCCAGAGCCTTAGCCCAGAGCCTTCGCTCGAAGCCCTAGCCTCAAACCAAGCTTTAGCTTTAGTACAGATTGATTTTCTTTTACTCTATTATACAATCTAACAAAATATATGCATTAATTTTTAACGAAACTACGAATTTACTGAACTATCGCTCTTTTATTTACTGTAAACATGTTTTGCAGACATCGTATAGACATTTACAAACATGGTATTGCTTAAGACGCTATCAGTTTACTTTTAAATTTTGGTGTTTTTGAACTCTATCTATAATCAATTAACGGTTTTTTCTTGTTAAAAACAATTTTTTTAGTGGGTTTCAGTTTTCTGCTCACATTTACTACAAAAAAGTGAACAAAAACATTAGCAACTGTCAGAGTTTGTAATCAAAAATGGAAAAACGAAGGTTTGGTTATAAAAAATAGCTGCAAAAGCTTGTGGCTATGTCAATCTTGCTTATGTTTTTGACTGTTATTTTATATACTTCTTAACAAATTATGTTGGTTTTTTAACTACCATGATTTACTACAATATCTTTACTTTTGCACCACAATATTTTTTACGTTTAGTTTATACGTACTTTTTTTAATAGTTAGGCTACTATAAGCAGTAAAATGCAAATATAAATAAAGTAGAAAAAGGCAAGGCGAGACAAGGCAAGACAAGGCAAGGCAAGACAAGGCAAGGCAAGGCAAGGCAAGGCAAGGCAAGGCAATGCAAGGCAAGGCAAGGCAAGGCAAGGCAAGGCAAGGCAAGGCAAGGCAAGGCTTATTTTTTTGGTGACACAACCTTATAAAGTCCTACTTTTCTTACCATTCCACAAACGGTCATATAAGGATCATTCCTTTACCTCTCTGTCAAGGCAAATGTCACTCATTATCGCTACAATCCCACGCAATGCGTTCGGATCTAAATTTCTACCGGTTGAGAATCTTTATGCGACATGTGACCCGATTAGAGGGCTTTACCGATGTTAAGGCGGCAGGGGTAGTTGAAAGGAGTCATTTAACGCGCATCTGTTTTTCTTTTAAACTTCTCGACAAACTGGACATTGATTTGAGCGACATATTACGCGGTGCAAACTCGGTGGGATTGGGTTACGGAAAGGGGTGGCAATGGGGTCGTTTTGAGGGTATTTGATGTTCATTTTACGGGGTTGCCAATTTGCAAATGTACTGTAGAGACTCAGTGGAAGGTGGGCAATCTTGGTACTCAAAGGGGGAGGGGGGGGCAAGCAATTTTTTTTATCTTTTAGCAGGGGTAGATTTTCAGATCAATTTTTGCATAAACTTTGTATGATAACCATTTCTGTAGCAATTTAGAGCGCGTAGCTAAAAATAGCCTGAACAATCTGGTTTTATCTTGTTATGACCTTGTTTTGACGTCTACTAATATATAGCTTCTGGACTGTTCTCCGAACGTTTCAATGATCACAATGCGGGAAATTGTTTGAATTTAGAGATCACATTGCGAGCAGGTGGAAAACATGTGGTTATCGGTGAAAAGGGCTGTATTTGCATGCTGTTTTTGAAGGTGTTATTATGTATGATGTTTCAGAGTATTGTTGAGGTTTTGCAGGTTAAAAACAGTGACTTTGGTGGTTTGTATTAGGCAAAGAGGGTAAATTTAAAGAAGGTTAGCAACAATACATAGGTTGAGGTGAAGTAAGAAGCTACAGCAAGATTACAGAAGGATTACGACAGGCCTTGTGTAAATTATGGTAGCTTTCTCTAAGTTAAGACAGCTCAAGGTAACGTAGATTAGGGCAGGGTTGGGTAGGGTAAGGTAGGATAAGGAAAATTAAGGTAAGGTAAGGTAGAGTGAGGTATGGTAAAGAAGGGTCTAGTAGGATATGAAAGAGAAAATAGAGTAAGATAAGCAAAGGTAAGGTAAGTTTAGGTAAAGTTAAGTAAGGTAAGGTCGGTAAAGTAGCATAAGAGATTGGAAGGTAGGATAGGGTAGAGTGAGCTAGGATAAAGTAAGATCAGATAGGGTAATGTAGTATAAGGTAGTATCAATTATGGCAAGGCAGGTTAACTTAGGTTTAAGTCGGATAAGGTGGCGTTAGTTAGGGCAAGGTATGGTCTCGCGGGATAAGGTAGGGCAATGTACGAGGAATTATGGTACAATATGATTACTGTAGGTATGAAAAGAGCATGCTGTATATATTAGTTTGTCCAAATATGGATGAGTTATTGAAAAGCGGCAGCTTTGTCTTTTTAATTATTACTCAATAAGCATACCGTATCACTGACATTCATGGTATATTTAAAAAGATACTATAATAAGCTGACTGTTCGCTTTTTTCAAAATTTATATATTTATAATCTTAAAAAAAAATTTGTAGCTCATTTATATTTAGACAATCTGATAAAAGGCTTTTTTTTGTTGTCAAGCTTCATATTTTAATATCAAGTTTTCAAAAATCAAAATAAACGGTTCTTAACTTTTTGTATGAGAATTAAAAACCGGTGTTTTTCGACTGTTTTTTAGTCGACCTCCCTTCCGTTCGGCGGTGTTTCACTCGCATGGGGAAGCCTAGTACGCCGTAGGGCTTGGGTGTTCAACAAATTGTCTTATCAGTGTCCTATTAAGTGTAATTCCTCCTCACGAGACATTTTTTTTGTTGACAGACTTGAACTGATAAGGCGGACTTGATTTGGGGCCTTATCGAGCGCCTCGTGACTTTAATCAGCTTTAAACAAAGAAACAATTTGTTTGTTTTGTAAGACTAGATGTCCGTATGTTACACTATTAATGGTGTGGTAAGAATGGGGTAGTCTGACAATTATGCTTTCGCTTATGAAAGTTGACTTTTTGCTTATAATTGATAACGAAATCTATTGGTTTTTTAATTTTGAATCTTACTTTTGAAGCCTCAAAAAAGTATTGTCGTTTTTTAACTTTAAAAGCTACAGAAATAGGCGACAAGACTTTTTGATCGTCTATAGGCTAAGGCGTTGACTAATCCCTGTCTTTTTAAATCACCTATTATAATTTAGACTACAGTTAAGTTAAAAAGGACATTTCTTAATGTAACTGACCTCTCAGAACATTAAATTCACGTTGCCGATGTACGGTTTGTTTATTAAGAAATATACCTCTAAAAGGGCCGGGTCCTCTTATGAGTCTATTAAGAAACTTTAGTATACGGTAGCTTGTTAAATGAAGTGATACTGTAGAGATAAGACATGATCATGAGATTGCTTTGTCGTATCTTCTGACATTCAAACTGATGTGTATTTTATGGTCTACCAAAGGTCATATGGTGGTAGGATGTCTTTTTTGTCTTTACTTTTTACTTATTTCTGAGAATGGTAGTACAGAAAAGACCGATTTTTTAAATTTTTTAATTTTAAAACTCAAGGACACAAACTAAAATTTTTTATAAGTACCACTGTTGGTACTAAGAACTTATATAAAAACTATGAGCTGGTTATGAGTAGGTCAGGTTAG